GTCCTGAGAGTGGAGGTCTGCACCGGAACTGTCCTGAGAGTGGAGGTCTGCAGGCAGGCTCCCATGTGCACATGACTTGTGTTTAAAGTTTATAGTCCGTTTGAGTTTTGCCCGTGTGAACGCAAACCGAACCTTCTGAAAAATTAAACAATGTAACAAACTGTCGTCTGGTGCGAACCAGAGAAGCGGACTATTAGGTGTGAATGCACCTGTACCAAACACAAGACTTTTGACTCATCCTAGGATTTCTGTCTTTTTAAAACTTAAAGAAACGTTTTGTTGTATTGCATGTTTTTTAAAAGAGGGCAACTGTAGGACCTTGGTGCTAATGGTTAAAGGTGTAGAAGAAGTAGATTTGCTATTTCGGTCCACAGACTTGGCAAGTAGCAAAGTCAAAAGTCAAATAAAAAACAAAGATGGATTTAAAAAAAAAAGATGTGACTTGAAGAATATGAATTCTGGCTCTGGAGATAGAAGCACGGAATTCCTGTACCATCTGTTAAAGCTGTTTGGCAAGAAAGCAGACCGACTGTCGCACACTGTTTCTCTCGCTCAGTCTTCTTTTTGTCTTTTTTTGTGTTCAGAAAGTAACCCAGTGCAGACCTGGCGTCTGGTTCACTGCACTGATTGAGATAAAGTTGTACATTTGAGAGTCTTTCCCGCTTCCCTTTTCTCCTTCATCCACTCCATCTCTCTAGAGAACAAGAAATATCTCAATCTACAGTCTGGGCTCTGGTTCACTGGACTGATTGAGACAGGGTACTCTGTACTGCATCAGAAAGAGAGAGAGAGAGAAAGAGACTTGGGAACTGAGGAAGAGTGAAAGAAAAAGTAGGATATCAGGTGGTCAGAAAGAGTGAGGGAGAACATGAACTTAAAGACTTTTCTTGGCAGTTGCAGAGCTGTGAGTCTGACTCTTCCCTTAGGTGATCCTGCTCCAAAAATGAAGGGTGTTTTTTTTATAAAGCAGATACACTGACATTTCCAATTACCATCAGTTCTTTCACTTTAACGGGCCAGTGGTTCTCCATTTTTACATGAGCATTCAGAAATACCGGGCTGCCACCAGGACAAGAGGTTAAAGAGACTGTCCTGTCAGCTTACAATCAAAGGTTCAGCTGCCACGACAGCTATGTGACGGAGACACTGAATCTGGTCACTAAAGATACCAGCAGACAGAAAAGTTCTGAAATAGACATGTTGCAATTATCAGTTAGTGGGTATTAATATAAAAAAGTAAATAAATGACATGAAAACACATTTATTGGTAACCATTTTGCAATGACACAGTCTGGCTAGTTGACTTAACAACTTAAGCACCAACAATTTTGTCACAGTGGTTGGTGGTCCTCTAATCTGGTCAAAACGGCAAGAAAAAGCAGTGTTGCAAAAGAAAAAGTGCAGCACAGAGAGAAAATCATCAGATTTAAGTCCAATTTCCCCTTTGGAGTATGCATACAATCCAGCAAGTGTTCGGCTTATGCTTGGAGTTTGTGTTCAATAAAACTCTTTCCAAAAAGTGGAACCAAAACCGCTACAGACATGGTACAAAAATCGAAATGTTTCTCCAACAGCTGCTGTAACAAAACGAACAACAAAAAAAACAAGATCATAGGGAGAATCAAAAGGCCCGTCTCCACACAACAGGGAATGTTTCTCTGGATTTTCGCACTTTACCAACGGTTGGTTAGTGTTGTCAGCAAACCAAATGAAAACCAAACGTCAGCTTGCTAGCCACAAACCCATTGATATGTCAGTGTGAAAACGTTCCCTCTCTTTGGAGACGTGGGTGTGGTTGACTTAATGTATTTTTTCTTTCAAACTAAAGTGACAACCATCTGTTAAATACAAAACCTGCTATGAAATATATGGCATAAAACAGTGTCTTCAGTGCCTTAATAATAAATATAATGCACATTTTCAAGCAGCAGCAGCTTACTTAGGAACTTGATGAACAGGGAAAGGTGAATAATGCACTTCAGGTAATAGTTTTATCCCAAAGTGGCATTTTAAATAAATATGCCAGCCTGTAAAAAACTCAATTATTTAAAAATTCTATCACATTTAAAAGCACTTCCACCAAAGTTATTGAGATTTTTATACAACAGTATTTGATATCAGATCTGTAATTCTTAGAGTGCATATTTGAAAAGCTCTGTTTTGTGTGTTGGTGTTTTGCAAAATAAATAACTATGTCAAGGTTTATGGAATTCCACCATCATTAATGTTATACACCTGCATTTTTTTCTTACTGTGAAACATTTTCCTACTGTGAAATGTTAGAAAGGCCTATTGCGCTTGACTGACTGTTGATCTCTAAAATCTTCTGGGAGCCAGCACTACGACTCTACACATTTCACACCCTCGAGCTCTAGTATGTGTGTAGCCTATTTGATGGAGTTTCTCTGGGAATTCAACTGAGCTTTCTGCATTTATGGGTAATAGAGAGAGCAAGAAAAGAGACAAGTTTCACCCTTGGAGCTACGTTAGGACTTGCATAGCAACAATTGCTCATAACTCCTTCTTGACTTCTTGACTCACAAACTAAAACAATTGAGTTTACAACATTTTGGAAGCATTAAAAAGGCCTGCAGATAACAGAAGCTGCTTATAATCCTGACCTGATTTCTCCATTTTTAAATCTTGTACGAGTTTCTTAATAGTAATGCAACAAATCAAAGCATTCACATTGATCGATCGAACCTGGCTTAATTTGACTAATCATAACACAAAACCCTCCACAGCTCTAGCCATACATATCAAATATGTGGGTAAACACATCTTTGTCTTTCGTTCGTTTGGTTAAATCAGAAACAAGAACCGATAACATTTCTAGTTCTCATGCCTTTTAATACTTCTTGTTTTGTACGGCTGTGGTCCTTTCCGCCACATAATACCCTGTTCTTGTAAATGCTTCTAATAACATTTTAAAGCAATCCATTTAGAAGTCCGCTGTAACAAATAAATCCTTTTTTATAGCACATTTTTTCTTACTGTTCACATTTTCCTTTGGGTGGTCAGGGGAAAAACTTGACTGGGCTGAAAAAAAAAAACCTGGTACCCTGAGTGTGGTTTAAGTGGGTCGCCTCAGAGTTTAACAGGCGAGGGGAAACCCTGAGATAAATCCAAGCGTGCAGACTTGAAGTCAGACAGACGTAGCATAGTGGAGGAAGTCAATGATGTACTTAACAACTCTCCTCAAAGGCAGGAAGACGAGGGTGAGCAAGACAGATGGGGGGGGGGGGGGGAGGTGAAAAGATGGATAGAGAGAGAAGCGAGAGGGCGGCTTTGGAAGTCAATAATGTGCTTAACCTTACTCTGCAGACTCCTTGTGTCCCTGTTATTGTAAGGAAGAGAAGATAGGATGGGGGGACGTAAAGGAGAAAGTGGAAACGAGTAAGATGGAAGGACATGGGAATGGAAATAGTCAGAGGCAGCAGAGAAGCGCTGTGTTTTTCTGTCAGCATAAATAGTAGTTAAGTGTATGCAGGGCAGGCGGGGGGGCCGGGATACAGGAAGAGCCCCATATAAGAGGGAATAGCCCAGTTTTATAGCCACATAAATCTCTGTTCCCCACACTGGAGGTTGTAACCCACCTCCTCCTCTTTTGGCCTTCCTTCCTCGGTGTAGCGGTTCGCTAAAACCTCCTTTTGACTTCTTGACTCTGTCTGCCGCTCTCTTTTGCTTCATTTCTCTCTCTTTCAGACTCTATTGACCCATGCCCTCCTTTTTCCCTCTAAGTGCCACTTTATATATTCTTCCATTGACCCTCATGCAACCAGGGCAAGCCTATAAAAACATTTCTTGAGGCTGTTTTTTTTTTTTTGCCTCATTGATATATTTTCCCTTTTTCCCACTTAAAACCTTTGTCAGGGACCCTCTAAGTATGAATATTTTTTTAAACCAAGATACCTTTTTAGTACATCTCTCAAAACAGACCATTTTAAGTGGTGCTTTTCATAATGCCTGTTTAAATCAATCAACAAATCAATCTTACGAGTGTGGAAAACACCACTAGTCATAACATGTTAATTGAATTCTGATGGCATTCTCTTTGCAACACTTTGAACACATGATCACTTATCATTGTTTATCACTCAAAATACAAGTAATTTAGGTCACCTATTATGCAAAATCCACTTTTTCACGTCTTTTATACATACTGTAAATATCTGTCCCCTCTGTGTTAAGGGATTCGGAAAGTTTCATGAAAAAATATCCTCTCTTTTTGTTCTGCTCCAACGATATACTGTAAAAAGTCTTTGTATATATCTGAGACCTATAATATATTGTTAAAAAAATAGCTTTATAGGGGACCTTTACGCCTGTTGAATGTAGTCTTGCTGTTGGGTGTTTTTGTAACAACTTCTGCTTTGTTGTAAAAAAGTTATGTTTACATTCAGTGTTACTCACCAAAACACATTGTGTGTATCCTTGAGATCTAACCAACTTGTTGTTGAATGCATTTAGTTTTCGTGCCCTGCCTTCTGCTAAGTGGCACACCTCGTTCCAGAGATACAAGAAAGCACATTTTTATTGCAGATAAAATGTTGAAATAGTCTGTCATTGTAGTTTGTGGATGAACTGTAGTTGAAAAGTTAATTCTCTAGTCATCTGGCTGAATTCAATGTGTTTGTTAAATAGAGATGTTCTTATCACAATATGAAGGTGGCATTTGAATTTCCTTATTCATAGAAACACAGAAAAAAAGGTTCTTGTCTTCTGCTGCAACACTTCAAAGGGTGTCCTGTTAGAGCTGGTTAAGTATTTTTTCCTTTGTAACATAATGAAGAAAGAAGTACCTACAGTATGCACAAATGGGGACCTTATACCAGTTATAGTTAGACCAATAGCTTCTAGTGAATACTGCAGGAAGAATTTACAGACCACATATACAAGGACTCCCACTTCATGGTGAACATCTTCTCACTCGTAATTTCTCTCTCTCTCTCTCTCTCTCTCCTCCCCCCCTCATCTCTCCCTCTCTGCCACCCTGACAGATGGAGAGCGAAAAGAAGAGGAGGAAATACTCCACGAGCAGCAACGACTCCGACACCACCGACAGTAAGTTGAAGAGAGAGAATCAGGGAAGAGGAGGAGGAGGAGTGTGTGTGTGGTGTGTGTGTGTGTGTGTGTGTGTGTGTGTGTGTGTGTGTGGTGTGTGTGTGTGTGTGTGTGTGTGTGTGTGTGTGTGTGTGTGTGTGTGTGTGTGTGTGTGTGTGTGTGTGTGTGTGTGTGTGTGTGTGTGTGTGTGTGTGTGTGTGTGTGTGTGTGTGTGTGTGTGTGTGTGTGTGTGTGTGTGTGTGGTGTGTGTGTGTGTGTGTGTGTGGTGTGTGTGTGTGTGTGTGTGTGTGTGTGTGTGTGTGTGTGTGTGTGTGTGTGTGTGTGTGTGTGTGTGTGGTGTGTGTGTGTGTGTGTAACCTGGAAGTGTCAAAAAGTGAGTGCCTGTGCTGCTGTTGTGCAGTCAGATGCTTTGTTTAAGTCAACTCCCTCAGGGTATTTCTTGTATTCACTCCCCATATACATGTTTCTTTCCGTCCCTTTTCTACTCATTAACACTTTTCCCTTTTTAAAACATGTCTCCAATATAAATATGAATATGTAGCCCAAGCAGCTTTCATGCAAGATCAAGAACAAGGGCTGCTTTTAAGAGAAAATAAATGTCTTAGGTTTAGAAAAGCCTTTGCCCTTGCAGGTGTAAAGACTGTGCAAGAGAGATTTATACTAGCCACAAGAAAGAAAGAAGTGGTAAAAGAAAAATGAAGTAACCTTTATTCTATAGAAATCACATCAGACAAAGAGTAATAGGCACTTAAGAATGCCACTGAATCAGTTATTTAATATAAAGAAACAGAAATAAACGCCTACATATAAGTAAGAGTAGATTCTTAGACAGTAGAACTAAGCAATAATCCTGAATTATATCTCTTTTATTTGTAAAGGCAAATGATAAAGAGGCAAGAAATTATGATTTGTGTTTGTTAAACTGGATTTTGCTGAGTTTTCCTCAGTAAAACATCAGCTGCTTTTTCTCTTCAACTGGTCCTCCGGTGGTGTTGCACAGAGTGAATGAAATGTTTCATATCATGTCATTTTATTTTTCGAGTTTGATAACCTCAGTCAAATCCTAAAGCTGATTTGCGCCTCATTGCCTCTAAAAGCTGACTGCTTGATGGCTGCAGCTTTAGTAAATGACGCGGCTTTTACATTAAGAAATTGAATAAAACCTGCATCTCACATCTGGGAAAATAAGATTAAGATTAAGATGGACTTTTATTAATCCCTCGTGGGGTAATTGTTTCTCTGCATTTGACCTCCTAGTGTTAGGAGCAGTGTGCTGCCATTTTGAACAGCGCCCGGGGAGCAGTGTGGGGAACGGTGCCTTGCTCAGGGACACCTCGATATCACTTGGTCTTGCCGGGACTTGAACTGGTGACCTTCCAGTTGCCAAGTCAAGTCCCTATCGACTTCGCCAGCACTGCCCCACTAATACCCCCCCAAATACACATTAGATTTAGGATTTGACACAGACTCAACACAACCCCTGAGACAGACTTTGTGTATAGAAAGGCATTGATGTTTAAACGTCTTTTGTACATTGTACGAGACAGACAGTCGGCCATGAGAGAGAGATACGGTGATGGGAACATCTGGCCAGTCCAACACATTACAACTCTGGCAGCTTCTGCTGGAAAATCATTTTGATTGTAAACAGTCTTTGAACAGCGGGACAGTTCTACACAAGCACACTTGGCTCTCACAGCTGTCAGAACAATAGGAACATTTTGGCATTAAAGACGGCCAGCGAAAATTAATATTGAATGTCATTCTTTTTGGCTATTAGGAGATCAAGATGAGTAATTCTTGGCATTTTGAATTGTGCATTTTAAGATAACAGGTAAAAATACTCGTTTGGCTAACATCTGACATTCATATCAGCCAAACAATCTGTTGAATCAAGAGAGGATCTTCTTTTCACTTTTTTGTTGTCCTAAAAGCTTTTCTAAACTGATTATTTTACTTCTTCTCCTTGGCTAACTTAGTTTATCCAGGGTAACATAACAAACCAAAATAAAGTGGCTTAATCTGCCTTTTAAAACCTTTTTAATTAGATTTTTGGATTAACTATGAGTGTTTGTTCTATTGATGCACTCTTCTAGAGTCTCTCTCAGCTAGACGTATGAATTGACATATAGACAAGGTATTCTCAGTTTTCTTTTGTCACATCTTTCTTTATTTCAAAATATAACATTTTCAAGATACTGTACATATTTTTTCTCTTTTTGGAGAATTGCAAAAAGGCAAATGTCCCTTTTACAATGTAAAAGGAAATTCAACACATTAAACTCTTTATCTGTCAGAAATAGTCCAGATAATTGCTTATGGAAGTTAAAAACATTCTTAACCCTCCTGTTGTCTTCGGGTCAAATCTGACCGATTTACTACTTTCATCAATGATAATAATTAACATTCGATTGCATTAAGGCTTTATGATATCCTTCACAGTAGACATTTGAACATATCAAATTGCTGATCACCACTTTCATTGAATTTTGATTGATTTGGAACGGGTGGCGCTATAATAAATATAAGGATTATTATTATTATTAATTTTGGATGATTTAGTCAACTTTGTAACACCCATGGTGTTCCCGCCATAAAGAAAAGGAAATAGTAACCATCTGGATCAGATAAACAAAACACACACACACACACACACACACACACACACACACACACACACACACACACACACACACACACACACACACACACACACACACACACACACACACACACACACACACACACACACACACACACACCACACACACACACACACACACACACACACACACACACACACACCACACACACACACACACACACACACACACACACACACACACACACACACATACACACACACACACACAAGATGTGTTCCCCCCCCTTATGTGCCCATTTCCCCATGTGAATCACACCTGGCACACGCAATACATGTTCAGTGTCTATTCTTTGTATATTTACTGCAGTTGTTCATGTATACCAGTAGTCTGATACAATATTTACAGTTTGAAAGGGTGTTAAATGAAATTTGGTGATGATTAATGGTTTTTGTGTTAATGTAATAGCAGTTCAAACAGGACCAGTCAAATTTGACCGCGAACACCAAAGTAAGGGGGGGGGGGGGAAACGAAGACAATAGGAGGGTTAAAATAACCTTTTCCTTATAAGATATATACTCATCAAGATTTACATCTGTAAATAGAGGAATTCTGTGTAATTTAATGGTTTAAACTTAACTGTAGCCGGGGCGACCACATGGAAGTGACCTCGTGCAGGTTTAAGTGTTATGTGGTCACAGGTCTGCATGTATAAATTATTTTACAGCAGGTTTAACAGGCAGCCTTTTCAGACCTGACTGAGCCACCCTGTGCTGACGGCCGCACTCTTCGCTTTATAATTATCCGTTAGCTGTTAGCTTCCCCTGGCCAGTGCAGCGTGGGCTCCAGCTGCATCTGCTGACTGGAGGTTATCAGGTTTCTAATTGAAGGATGCCCATGATAATTTTGCCTGCCATGCACCAAGCAGGGCTTTTAATTAACACACGGCCATGATGGTAACCGCCCACTGTGCTGCGGCCCGCTCCGTTATCTGGCCACACAGTGATGATGAGGCGCAGCTGTCTCGTGGGGCATGTAGATCACACACACACACACACACACACACACACACACACACGCACACACACACACACACACACACACACACACACACACACACACACACACACACACACACACACACACACGCACACGCACACTATAGTTGAGTGCAGACAGTTCTCCCACAGATGTGTCTAGATAATGTGCATTCAACAGCATAGATAAACACATATTTAAAATGCCACCCCACCCCTTTTACTGTTTTTTTGTCATTTAATGTGTTTGTCTTGAGCAAAGTAGAGTCTCTTTTATTCTTTAGACACTCTCTCTTTCACACACACACATACACAAGCTGGGAGGTGGTAGTCCAATCCAGTCCCACAAAAAACAGCTACATAGTTTCACAAATACGCCTCTTAAATTGTGAAATGGCTTCCCTCCACATTCATTTCTAATGGCCAGTGTCCATGTGACATGAATGGAGGATCAATTTGTAAATAATGTGATCAAACCCAAACATGGCTGTCAATTCACTCCATATTTCCTGTCATGCTGTGGGAGTTAAAGTGTGTTTTTGTGTGAGTATATGAAACTGTGCAACTGAGAGTTTGAGACATTAAATCAATGCATGCAACATGTGTGTGATGGTGGGAGAAACTGTGACTATAAGCACGCATATGTGATAAATACGAGGAAGTGTTAACATGTTTATGTACAGCACACTGTATATGTTTATGTGTGAGTTATGTATGTCTGTAGGTGTGTGTAGGGAGAGAGGCAGTCTGTAATTTTGTAGAAAAGTCTGACAGAAGTTCTGCCCTCTGTGCTGTTAGTTGTTTAGACGTCACAAGTAAAATTAGCACGGTGGCAGCACTGCTGTGGTGTCGAGGAAATATGTTGAGTGGGAGGCAGCACACAAACACACACGCATGCACACACATGCATACATAAATGAACACACACAGTCATGGTCACAATGTGCTATATTACACAGTATTGGGATATTTGAGTTTTCCATTATGCCTGTGTGATCACTGATGTAACTTAATTGCCAATGTGATGTAATATTTAATGACAGCCTCCTTTGCGGTGCACATATAAATGAGCTTCTGGCTATCTGATGCATGGTTATGTAATTTAAAACATATATAGAAAAAAACAGCATTCATTAAATTACAAATAGACACTCTGTTCAAATATATGGCACCAGAAAACACATACAGGGCTGCTGATTGAAGCGGTGGGTGGGATATTGGCAGCAGAGTCAGTTAATTGCCATTAAGTTGTGTATTAATGAGGTTGTAAAGACCACAGTGGACTAACTGCTTAACAAGATGCTATTTATACTGTCATTACTTATTAAACCTCTTAATAGATCATCATCAGTCGGCTTCAATTAAAGCGCTCACTCAGTGGTAGTACTGCCATGGGTGTCAAAAAGTCACGGGCAAGGTCTTTTTGACTGATTTCTTTTAGTGCTTCTCTGCATTGTTTGGACTGCCTCCATCAGATGCATCAAAGCCCTTGAATTCTATCACATTTTAAGAACACTTAAAAAACAATGAGCTGCTTTTTGCTCTATATTAAGTAATTCGCTGCTGTTTCATGATGGCTGATGTTACTGTGTTTTTATTGTATTTGTGTTGTAAACCCTCTCTGCAAAACCAATTTCTCCAATGGGACAATAAAGTGTCTTTGGATTGAATTTGAACGCACGCTGTGAAACATGAAGTCTGATCCAGAGCCAGAGACCTGTTCTTCATTCCCCCCCCCCACTTTAAATCATGATTCACACTCATGAATGCACATTCTTTACAAATCAAACACAGATTAAGTTTGTCTGATGTTCTGCTCCAGATGACTGAACACTGTTGTCTTTACAACTGGGTCCCAAGCTGGGCTCATTTGTCAACAAGAAAGATGTGCAAGTTTTGGTTTTCAAAAAAATACTTATTGAGTACAATTGAAATAGACGTTTGCTGGTTCTTATTACACTGAGTATGCTCTTCCTTTTATTCTGTTTCTGCAGGTCAGATGACGTCGTGGTCGAGGTCATCCAAGAATACGGTCACCAGCAGCACATGGGTCCGCCTCCAGCACAAGAAACCATCAGAGGTAAGTTAGTGTGGCAGTTTGGTTCGATGACACGGGCATACATTGTACACAAAATGTGTTTAATGAAATGCAGCCTCTGTGTGGCCCACACAAGCTCACAGTTTTGCTCCACTTGACTTGCTGTCTGTTATTTGCTGTGGCTTTGCTGAATTGTCAGAAATGGTCAGATTCCAGCGTAATGTCTGGTTGTTGGGTTTGCTGAACATTGGCATGATCTACAACTTTTATGACCCAGTAGCTAAACCGATAAATTCCTCTTCTGGCTTTTAAATTCCTGAAACATTTCCCAATTTCAAGTTTTCTTGTAAAGGCCTTAAAATGGCTTGGATTTAACCCTACACCTTTGCCTTATTTGGTATGCATGTAGTTATATTATGACTATGCACATGTATCTGGTTGAAACTGAGACCTTCTAGTTAAACAACATGTCAAGGTAAAATGTATGGAACCATGTCAGGATTCATTATTAGTTCTACAGCAAAACCAATCTCTTTTTGGGTAAAACTTTAAAAAAATTGCTCTGGAATATCGATATTGCAAACCCACATTTTCTCTTGAAATGTAGCCAGGACATTACTCTTTTCCTCTGATAGCCCTTGTTTCTGAAAATATGGAAAGCTCTTCCCCACAAGTAATCCTTTTTAGCTGTGATCCAACGCCATTGAGTTGACTTTAGACTTGGGAAAACCCTGATCCAGCAACTGCAGTCACTTCTTTACTGAAACAAACAGTTATGTCCAGATTAAATACAGTCATCTCCGCCACCACAGCTAAATCAACCAGACGCATGGATGGCACAGATTGGTTGGCTAAAATACCATGTTGAAACATCCATATGCTCATGATGAATGATCCCAAGGACTCTCAAATGACCACCCTGAGGAAGAAACTGGCATAATCCAGTTGAAACATGGTGCAGTGAACCAGTTGTGGTGCAGCTTCGCTTGCCGCCATCACACATTCCTCCCACTCAGTCAGTGAAGTGGGTTCAAATCTGTTTGAGGGGAACTTGTCTCTTGAGTTTCACTTCAAAAATAACTGCCATTTGAAACAAAATACATCTAATCTTAAAAATGGGCAGGGGAGATTTTTGAATAAAGGAGAAGAACCTTTGATGGCACCTCTCAATTTCCAAAGATGTTCAGTAGAGCACCTTAAACAATGATTTGTTTACAAAATGAATTAATACAATTTTAAAGGGTAATTTGCACTCCCCCCTGCTGTGACCTCTCCCCATTCTTCCTCCAAAAAAGGCAAATGTGTCTAAGGTTTAATTGTATAACATTTTAGAAAGGAGAATGAATAGAGCTAAATGGCATGCATGGCCCTGAACCACCCCGAAGTACAAGTCATCAGCAGAGCATCTGTCATGTCTGTGCATTTGAAGCTTCCTCCCCCTCAGCTCCATCCAGTTAACCACAGGCTGTTGGAAGGTCCTGTCAGCAATCAGTCTCTCAGTAATTACTACTGTAGCTCCCCGCTCTGACCCGGGCCTCGGATGAAGAGCTGGGGGCCACGTTCCCTTTCATACCGCGGCCTTGTCGCCTTGCTCCAGGGCACACTGCTATAAAAAGGAAGATGTTTTGCAGTGAGTGACAGGAAAAGGTTGAATAAAGAAAAAGGGGTGGTTGACATCTGACAGGTTCAGTTTCTTTTCTACGCACATGTCAGAAAAGCTTAACTTGTTGAATGTGAAAAGTGTGTTGTCTTGCTGCTGGAGAGAGTATATCATTCGCGCCTCCTTGTTTGAAGCTACTTGCACTTCTTTTGTACTCTCATACTTGATAACATTTATTTTGACCATGTTGTCAATGAATTTGAATTCTAGAATATTGCTTTTAGGGTTTTTTAAGTTCAAAATGGCATTCAGTGAATGTTCTGTAATTCCAGAACATCATGTAATTGCAATGCATTGGATCGAGACTACAAACACATGCAACAGACGCAGCACTCTTAGGAAGATTTAGACACTTGCTTAAAATATTATTGCTAATGTAATTCTGCCAAAAATATACAGTATATTAAAGCAACTATTCATGTTCTTCAGCTGAAGTGATACACTTTTCAAGAACAACCAGCCCTTCAGCCAGAAGGTAAAGTCTAAAGTAAGGGCTGTCAGTGTCCTGAGGCAGTAGCAACAGCCTGTTGTATGTTTAACATGTCAAAGGTCATGACCCTGATTGAATGACATGTCTCTTTTGACTAACAATCGATAACAATACTTAAGCTAAAGCAAACATTGGAGGTTGCTATTTTTGGCTCTGTTATGCAATTTACTATTCTTCAGTTTGGCAGAGAGGAGTGTCTCTTTCTTTGCTCTCCTGTCAAGGATATCTGCATCGTACCACTTTAATAGTTTCACTGTGTTAAAGAAGAGAGAGTTTCAGAATGTCTTGAAGGAGTGAGAGTGCTGTTGACTGTTTTACTTTTGACCTGACTCACTAAAAGAATAAGGATTGTCTTTGTATCTGAACAGTGGGTCAATCAGGCTAAAATAGATCATAGAAACATGGACAAATTGACACATGTAAAAATGTCCATTTCCATGTGTCAATTTGGTGTAAAACTAATTAACAAGCAAGTAGAAGTCCAATTTTCAAGTGCCAAAAAAGTCTGTAAATGGATGGTACGAATCGGTATTTTGTCACAGCAATATTTAAGGACTGGGTTGCAGTATTTCATTAATCCATTATGTTCAATAACAAACTGGTTTATATTAAAGTACATCGCATATTTAGTTTTCTTTGACATTTTACATAAATGTCAATTTGAATTTGTGAGTTTGCATACTTTCCGTGTCTACGAATCACATTTGATGTTGGATGTGGGAGCCAGACATATCCAAATCTAAATCACTTTTGAAATGATCAACGAAAACTAAAAGCACGTTTAAAAAAGGGTGGTAATCTAAGGGAGTCAAATATACTAATCAGTGCATCCCTACTGCGAAGAAGATTGAACAGTGGCTCAATGCAGACATGTTTATGGAATGATACTCACCCTGGTTGAGGGAGGTGTGGCGAATAGTAAACACTACGGGCTTGTAATGACAACTTTGCTCTTTTCTAAAAACGATCCGTCTCTATTTGCGCCTTTGCGAGTCTTTCACTCCAGCTTTGACTTTTCTTAGAAGTGGTTTAGAGAGCTTTAATTGGGGGAAGGAGGACACAGTCAAACGCTACATTCAGTAACGCTGTTTTCATCTCAGATAAAATGAGGGCAGCTATTGAAGATTTGGAACCTTTTTGTAGACTAACAGGAAGTCGTTATGACTTACAGGACATACACAGACGCCACATATGTGTTCTTGTGGTTAGGGGAAGCATTTGAGCACAAGAGTGTTTGTGCTTTCGTGCACGTAGATAACAAAAACCTAATTTAAAAAATGTCCTGTAATGTAATATAGGTGGTATGAAACTGAGTCACCAGTTAGACTGTTTCTGAAGAAGGCCTCGACTTCATCCCTTCTGACAAAAGCAGAGCTCCCCTTCTTCAGAGAAATCCCCCTGCTCTCACTCAGGGGATTGTGTGACACTTGTCAAAACACTGAAACATGGGCATTGGACACACACATTTATTAGAGGATACAAAATGTCAAGACGGGAACATGAATTCACAAACTCTGCACACGCTGGGGGTTTCTTCAAGGATTGTGGTATTGAAATGTTGTACCACACACTCGGAAAATGGGGTTGTATGTATTCAAATGACTTGCTTTCTGTTTTTCATTTCTTTTTTCGGTTACTTTTTGTTTCTCTGAAGATCTGTCATTCTTTTAGACATGGAACACATACAGACACTTGAACTTTGGTCTGCACAACCACACTTAAATATCCATACAGTATGTCTCCAAATCTGGTGAAAAGCATATTTAATGAGCTTTAAATCACGTATCAATGAGATAATTATCATAAATGGTGCAAAATGGGGCATGGGTGAATCATTTTGTGAGAGTTACTCTCACAAACACAAAATCGTTATGCAGTCTCATATTCACAACCAGGAAGAGGGGTGGGTAGGTGTTAAGAGGCTAGCAAAGGCACCTAACTTCCTTTTTATAATCTATTTTTCTACAATTGAAATGGGCCTTCTCAGTTGCTGTCTTTTTACATTACATTACATGTCACTTGTTAGCTTTTATCCAAAGCGGGGTTTGAACCTGTGACCCCCTGATCCGAACACCTACACACAACCCACTGCGCCACACGCCACTCCCTCCCGCTTTCCTATAATGATGTAGCAGACATCATACTTGTTACTAGGCTTGTTGTTCTCCTGCATATTTTACTGGTGTGCTGAAAGGACAATGTCTTAATAAGGGTGTTTTCATAAAGTCCAATAGTGGTTTAGTTTATAACTGAAGAAAAAGCTTTAGAGGCTAATATGCTAAACTAAATATTACTTAAGCAGACTTTAGTGTTAGCGCCAATACCTTTAACAGGCTGTTGTGCAGTGCACCATGGGAGGAAGGAAGTGGTAATGATGGGGTTGCCAAAAAGTATGATGGCAGAACAGGTGTGAAACTCTCCAAATTGCTATTGTTTTTATGTGCTCGGTGCATATTTACTGTACATTCAAGCCAAGTGTGCATGCGGTTTGTTTAGCAAATGTACGCATAACAATCTGATAGTGACAATGTGAAGGGCGGGGGGGGGTGGCTGCAGCAGTTTAGGGGGAGGGGGTGGCTGCAGCAGTTGAAGTAAACAAGAACAAAGATGATGAATTAAATTCAACTAGGAATGCATGTAGTATTATTGTTTAGTAGGTCATATATTTATCTGTATTGCTGATGTTCTTTACATTCAGCTTTGGCTAAGTCAAGTGTGGCTTTAATTGTCTGTGGCAGGGGCGTTTCCTTGACCTGGAAACATTAGGGGCTAGCCCACAGTGGCGGCGCCAGAGATTTTCTTTTGAGGTGCTGTGGGGTAGCTTGACATTTCATAGAGGTTGCTCAAACATGCAGGGTTTCCCATTAAGGTACCGGGCGCTACAGTGGGGGG